TCTTTAGTTCATTTTTTCAACCTGTGTATGAGTTACATAGTATCTATTTGAATATTGAGATATATTATATATTTCTATAATTTCCAAGTGCTATAATTTAAATTATTATACATTGATTTTTTATTACTTATTTTTCATTTATAAAATATAATATGAGAAAAGAATATATTCTTAAAAATAAATAGTTTTTTTGTGTACATAGATACTTCTAAGGTGAAATTTATAATCTTGAATTGCACCGGACCATCGAATTTTATTTTTATTAGTATATCATATAAATTTTCTTTTTTTTAATCGTCCAAAACAAAAAAAAAGAAATTTAAATGATAACCTAATAAAAATAAAAGTATAATAGCACTGCATATGCTGTATTCAATTGTATGTACCTTTTTATAGTTAAATTGACTATATTTTAGAAACTTTTATTAATATTTTAAATTATATATTAAGTTATTATGATTTAAACATACTTACTCTGATTATTTTATTAAATATTTTAAGTACTTCTGAATATTGAATATATTAATTAATTAAATTAAATACCTACAAACCATAGATGATAATATATTTAATCAAATCAATTTTCATAATAATTTTTTAAATTGTGTAAGTAAACTACTATTAAATTAATATATTATCTTATTGAAAATATATATAATTAATCCATGGTCAAAATTTCTATTTAGTCCAATTTGTAGTTAATAAGTAATGATCATTGAGTTTATAAAAATTAATTATATTTTTTATGTATAAGATTTGCTAATAAATAAATATTAATAAATACCAAATATAGACGAAAAAGTTTCCCGCTCAAAATCATGCCAATTATGGCAATAAGGATTGATCCATTATATAGATATAGAAGTTGCAAAATTGTAAAGTAGTGGAATTAATACTATCTTATATCAAAATATTTTATACCATCTACTTGTATCAAAATAATTTCCGAAACATGATATAGATGTCAAAATGTAACAATTCACATTCTCATCAGTTTTCTTTCACTTAGCATACTCCTCTTTTTCACCGGGCACATCTGGACAAGCCTCATGAAGTACAAATTTGTACCCCTCTGCAGTTAACACTATGTCCACATTCATTTTTTCAATCAATGTAGTTGGGACCAATTAGTTTGTTTTCTTTGAAACTTACGGACAATGGATTGAAAGACATTTTGAATTCCTAAGATCATGCAAAATAATTTTTTTTAGTCAAGTCTTCGAATTTAATATTAAATATTGATACCTTAAAACAATATATTTTATTAAATTTACCGACACCTCAATACATTGAATCACCGCAGGCCACTCTGGTGTGGACGTCTACAGATCAAACATTCGCAAGAGAAGAGTTTTACCCTCATTAATTAACACTTAATT